TTAAGTGTATCGTAAAGTTTGTATTCGGAAAGAATAAACCAATTTTATTAAGTAAGGACTTGTGTCACTAAAGTTTCGTCGGAAACGAAGTTACGGAAAGTTAATTAACAAACGGAGACGTAACAATATACATATGCTGAATGAATAAAGAAACAATTATGTTTCTCATTTTCCAGGGGAGGAAGTGCCCCCTCTTGCCCCCCTGCGGAAGCCCATGTCACCTTCTCTGTTATTCGTTTCGTAGCCAACAAGAGAATAAAAGTGACAGTAAAGCTAGATAGTGAAACTTTTGTACCAGCAACAAATCCGTTATATTGAACTGTTTTCAATTTTCTAAATTCTCTCTACATTCTTTTATATGATGAATTTTTTTACAATTTGTCAATTAAATTCACGAAACATAAAATATCTATTCCTGAAAACACTTTGTCATTAGGCAATTCAGATCAGTTTTTCTTTGTAATGGGTTTACTTAAATTAGTTACTTATAAAACAATTATAAGTAATTTTATAAAATTGGACCTGAACAATACATAGAGCAAAATAAAAAAAATAAAAGTCATTAACCTCACCATCATCGGGATTCGGTCCATCTTTTGGACTAGGGAGGATCAGGTTCAGCGTAGACCTCTTCCTCCCTCTCTGGAATTGTTATTTTGTTTGCACTGTTACTGAATCCCAGGAAATAACCCTTATTACGTTGTTGTTGCATTATTCACAGAATGTTACATTTTGTCAATTGTCTGCAGTTTTAATTAACATACCCTTTTCGTTCCATGTCCAATTCATGGGGTAATATTAACTGGTATATTTTCACTAGCTTCACTTATGTATGATCGCACTATTAGTTCGTGTTCACAATACAGTTCCACTTAGCAGTCATATACAGAAACACATAATCCTATTTTTTACATACAAAACCCTTTTAAAATAGGGCTACGTTTGTGTCTAGGATTCAGTTAGCCTAGCACTATTTGGACTGTAAGATTCTTATTTATGATGTTTCGAGGGGAAAGTACTGTTACGTCTCCGTTTGTTAATTGATTTTCCGTAAATTCGTTCCGACTAAACTTTAGCGACACAAGTCCTTTC